TTATCCTCAAACGAATCACAAACTACCAGAAACCTTAGACTTATTTCTGAAGTAAAAAAACATTCCTTCTCTCAAAGGCTGCATTACTTTTGTTTGAAAATTATGTCTAAAAATCAAAGGAAGGTTCTCTTGTAATCAAAGGAAGGTTTTCTTCCATTCATTACTGCGATACTTATCCCCCTCCTTGTTAACATTAACCTGGTCAGGGAAGAAGATAAGTATCGTAGTAAAGATTGGAAGGCTTGGTTGTTAAAGATGATTTATATTGAAGTAGGAAAGTTGATTTTTTTTTATTGATGTAGGAAAGTTGATGTTGTTGAAGATGTACATTAAGTTACAGCACATCATATGGATTACGCACAGCGGACGCATAGACTACGCACAAAATAATATTACATATATTTTATCAAATATTAATACAAAATCATACATTAAGTTACAGCTGCTCCAACTGCTAATTTACAAATAATTTAGAAGAAGTTTTATAAAATACGCATAAAATATGCATAGAATATGTCTCTCATACGCAGTATATACGCCTTAAATACGCATTACATACGCATTATATACGCATAACATACGCACAACATAAAATTGAACACATCCAGAAAATTTATCTGACGGCTCGACATTATATAATACTAAACATGTCCAGTAGGACCAGTACTCATACTAAACCCTAAACGCGAGCTGCTCTCTAAATCTTGGAGGTTTCTTCTACTACGAGTTGGGTTGCTTCCTTCTCCGTCTGACCCGCGGCCGCTTCTGTCCGAGGCTGCTGTCTCCTCCGACCTGCATCAGATCATAGAAAAGATTAGTAAGAACTCGTTCACTTCATATTTTTCTCAATCAGGATGGTCAGAAATAAGGATAAGGCTGGATCAGGTCATAGAAAAGATTCAGCATGAAAATATAACACTCAGGTGGATGTAGGAGGCAGTGATAAAACATATGTCTATCTGAAATGCAATTACTGTGATAAAGTTGTGAAAGGTGGTGTGACTACGATGAAGGAACACCTTTCAGGTTCTCACAAGAATGTTGCTCCATGCTCCAAAGTTCCTGATGCTGTAAGGGATGAGATAAAGTTATACATGAATAAGTCTACCACATCAAAACATCTTGTACAGAAGCAATTTGAGGATAGAGTTGATGCTGGATCGTACTACGGGAGTGAGCGCAGCGTTAGGGATTCATCTTCTTCTATGAAGTCCATTTCATCTAGGGGTGCTAGAGGGCCTATGGATCATTATATAATTGACACATCAGATGATAAGCCTTCTACTATACAGAAGATGGCCCTAGAAAATGCAAGGGAGGTGCGGAGAAGAGTGTGTAAGGATATAGGCAAATTCTTCTACGAAAATGCAATTCCATTTAATGTTGCAACAGCACCTGCTTATTACAACATGATTCTTTCAGTTAGAGCATTTGGGAGAGGGTTCAAACCTCCAACCATGTATGATTTAAGAACATGGATTTTGAAGGAGTTGGAAAGCACTGATAAACGCATCGAATAAATTAAGAAGACTTGGGCCCAAACAGGAGTAACAATTATGTCAGATGGGTGGTCTGATATCAAACATAGAAGTCTGATCAACATCCTCATTAATAATCCTTATGGTACTGTATTTTTAAGGTCAATTGAAGCATCTGACCAGGTCAAAGATGCTGAGTTCATATTTGGATTATTAGATAGCATTATTGATGAGGTTGGAGAACATTTGGTTGTACAAATTGTGATAGATAATGCAAGTTCTTATGAGGCTGCAGGTAATAAACTTATGGAGAAGAGGAAACATTTGTATTGGAGTCCATGTGCTGCACATTGCATAGATTTGATTCTTGAGAAGCTTGGGGGGCTACCTCAACATAATAATGCACTCACTAAAGCCAAAAAAATAATCAAGTTTATTTACAACCACTCTTAGGTTCTAGCTCTTATGAGAAAGTTTTCGAAGAAAAAAATTCTAAGGCCAGCCGCAACAAGATTTGTCACCGCTTACTTGACCTTAGAGAGCATGCTGGATGCCAGGCAACCTTTAGAGGCTATGTTCACATCTACACAGTGGTTGAGTTGTGCTTTGGCAAAGAAGGCTGAGGGAAAAGAGATTAGAAACATTGTTTTACATGACAGATTTTGGCAAAGTGTCTTATATGCCATTACAACCACTAGATCTTTAGTTCATATTTTAAGGATGGTGGATGCTAAGAAGAAGCCTGCAATGGGTTTCATCTACAATGCCATGGATGAAGCCAAAGAGATGATTGCCTCCAACTTAGGAGGCATTGAGGGAAGCTGAGAAATTTGAAATATTATTGATGATAGGTGGGAATTACAGCTTCACCGACACTTGCATCGCTGGCTACTACCTAAACCCTCAGTATCAATATGCAGAGAACAAGTCTATAAACCCTGAAACAAGGTTGGGTTTATATCATTGCATGGATCGTTTAATAAGTGATGCAACTGAAAGATCAAATGCTGGCTTGTAATTGGTATCTTTTAGGAACAAAGATGATTTTTTTGGATTACAACAAGCAAAAGATACAATTGCCAAACGATCTTCAGTTGAGTGGTGGATTCAATTTGGTGATGGGACTCCAGAATTACAAGGTTTTGCTGTGAAAGTTTTGGGCTTGACATGCTCTTCATCTGGCTGTGAAAGAAATTGGAGTACGTACAACCAAGTACATACAAAGAGGAGAAATCGCTTGTCGATATTGAGGATGAACTCACTGGTGTACATTATGTACAATAGGAGACTCATAGATAGAAAATTGAAAAAAAAAAGAATTAATGGATGATGAAGATCCTTTGTTTTATGATGATGTGACATCTGATGATGAGTGGTTTGAAGATGATGAAGTTGAAGTGATGCCGTCTGAATTACAAGATGAAGATTTAAATGTTGATTTTTTTGATAGTCTTAAAGCATCCACATCCACCACAACTCAAGAACAAATCTAAAAAGGTATATAAATAATATAGTTTTCTTTTCTTAGACTTTTATTATTATATTACACTATTATTCATTATGATATTGTTCAAAAATATTTAGGGAAGAGGAAGATAACTAATAATGAGGAAGAAGAAGCTGATTTGGAGATATTGGACTCTATAGGAGAGGGGGAAGAGGAGAGAGCAGTTCATCATACTGATGATTCAAATGAAGACCCCCTTAGTGATGACTGATGAGTGATGACAGTGCTGATGACTGATGACAGTGCTGATGACTAGTGAGTTCTTAACTTCTTATGTGATATGTCTCCCTTATTTATTCTCAAAGATGTGGTAAGTAGCATTTTTATGTTTTATATATTATTTACTCATTAGTATATACAAAATTTATTATTTTATGTTTACGCAATTTTTTTGATTTTGAGGCTTACGCCTCATTTCGCCTTGAGGCTTACGCCTCGCCTCACGAACGAAAAACGCCTCAATACCCGAATACGCAATTTTAAACCTTGGTTAAAAATCGTAGGTATCGAGTCTCTCAGGAGAAATAAGTAGACCAAGATATTTCAAAGCATTATGAGCAAGGGAAATATTCAAAGTGTGACAAATATCAACAACAACTATAGAACCATTTGAGAATATGGCCAAGCTTTTCCTTTTATTAATAACGATCACAAAACAAAGAGAGAAGTGCTCCAAAATTTTCTTTAAACTTTTATTATTTTGAATTGAAGCTTTCCCAAAGACATCGTCAGCATAAAGAAGATGAGAGAGATGATTCCCTCTTGTAGCAATGCCTTCAAAAGGAACAATAGAGATTTCATCTTCTAAAAAATTGGAGAAGGCATCCATGACTATACAGAGGAAGGGGATAAAGGACAACCTTGACGAAGACCAGAAGTGAAACTAAAAAAACCTTCCATTGCACCATTGAGACAAACGGAGAAAAACACATCCTCAATGCAACCTTTAATCGAAGATATGAAAAGGTTAAGAAAGCCTTTTTGTGCTAGCCTGGATAAGAGGAAGTCCCTAGAGACAATATCAAATGCCTTGTGAATATCAAACGTAACACAGAAGAAATTTCCTTTGGCAGTGCAATTAAAACCCTCAACATCTCAGATGCAAGCAAAATATTGTTTGAAGATATTCTTTTCTAAATAAACTCGGCCAGGCTAGGATGGATGATAAGAGGCATAACATGTTGCATTCTATTAGCAAGAATTTTGGACACAATTTTATAGTAAAAATTACATGAACAATGGGCCTATAATTCGAGATATGATAATGCATGATTACTTTTAGGAATAAGAGCAATGGCTGAAGCATTAGCATATCTAGGAGAAGTGAAGATGTGCTTAACAGCCTTGTTGAAAATAGGATCCATAACATCCGAAGCCTTCTTGAAGAACTCAAAATTAAAACCGTCAGGACTAGGGGCAAAGGAGATTTAGAGCAGAGAATACAATCTTTTTAATTTCCTCATAAGATATAGGAGCAATCAATTAAGAAATAAGGTGCGAAGGAATAGTGCTGCCAGCTGGAATAACAAGTGAGTTGGCTAATGTCGGTTTAGGGGAGTTAAAAAGCAGTTTCAAGCAATAGCATCAAAAAAATCTTTAGGATCAGTGAACAATGATATTTTGCTTACACTAGGCTGGAGCCAAGGTGGAGCTACCCTAGGCTGTCTACTCCTGCTCCTACACCTAGGCGATTCTTTGGCTATAGCGGATTGTTGAGGATTTGTGGGGAAACGGGTAGGAGGGTGAACAATCAAATCACAGTCGGAGATTGGATGTGCTTCCAATCATAAACAACCTTTAAATTAGAAATATTCCCAACAATTGAAACTTGAATTTCATCTGGAAATCTGAAAGGGGGGAGGATTTATCAATCTGAAAGAAGCATGTGCAAATGTTTGTCGTCTTTTTTGCACGCTCTTTTCATTGTGATAGGTTAATCTTGAAAGCATCCCCTCTGTTATATAAATGTAATGATTCCATCAATTACTCCCTGTAACCTGAGATCTTTATCACAGCATTTCAGCTATGAGAAAAAATGTTTTATCAAAATGCTACGGTGGTGACGTTACGAGAAAGAGGAAGCTTCTAGAAAAACAGAAGGAAGGAAAGAAGCGCATGAAGCGGGTGGGATCTGTTGATATACCTCAAGAGGCATTCCATGAACTTTTGAAAGTTTCCAAGGAGTGAGATGCGTGTTTTTTTAAGGTCTATTCACTTGCATGTACATTTTAGTTGTATATGTATCTTAACATTAAGGTATGTAATCGTTTCATGTAGTTAGTTGTTCATTCTTTCTTTAACGTGAACTTATTAAATGTTATTATTTTATAAATAAACTGTATTTAATTTGATGATCAATTTTTAATAGGATGGGTACAATGAAGCTCAATGCTATTAAATTATAATCCTTGATACCCTCTTGTGTTTCTTATTGGTTTTGTTGGATCCAATTGTGTTTGTGGACAACAAAGTAGAGGCCTAAGGACCTTTGGTCTTGGCAAAGTGAATGTTCCTTAAAATAGGTGCTTTTCTATGGCTAGGCTTGGCGAGCTTTCATTGGAACGATCTCTCACGGAGAGAGCAAGTGATCATGATGGTTGTTTGAGAATGTGGTGAGTGTCAGGCTGCTAGTTTGATGAGCAATTTTTTCCCACGTTGTAAAAGGATGAGCTCTTTGGTGTGCTCGTGTTGATCTCAGTGGACAAGTTCTCGCGCGAGTGCCAATCGAATGGTACCTCTTGGATTGTTGGGTGAGTTATATTTTAGCTTTCTTTGATGGTCATTTTGTTTGTTATGATCCGCCAATTATTTGTTAAAAATCTATAAAGATATGTTAGTATATAAGTATTTTCTCTCATGGATATTATAATCGGGCATATAAAGGCTTTGTTTGAATTGAGGGAAGGAGAAGAAATGAAATGAAATTCGAACTATAAGAGCTTGTAAATGAGTCTAAGCGAAGTGAGCGTCATTTGTAGCAATGAGTGAAAATGAAAGTGTTCCTAGTACATGTCAATCTTTTTTGAATTAAAATTATAATTATGATATAATTTAATTATTTAAAATATTTAATATCTATAATATTTTAATATTATCAATCCTTACATGAAGTGATGCCACGATTTTGAAGAACTATGAATGAGGAAAATTTGCAGCGCAAGAGTATAACTGAAAAGGAATTTGATAATATTCATATTCGCATCCAAGGATTGATATTACTTTAAATCTTATTAAAGGATATGACAATATAATAGCCATAAAGGTACATTTTGAATTTATAAAAAAAAAAAAGAGTAATCTTATTTTTAATATTAAACATTACTATCTTATTTCATGAACTTTCATAATTATTTATATGATCTATATAGTGAAAAATTGTAAGAGTTATGCAAATAATGAAAGAAAAAATGGACATTAATAGTTAATACATCATAAAAAAATAATCTTGATTTTTTTTTTTTTAGAAATTTGCAACTTGCATTATAAAAGAACAAAACTAGTTACAAGCTAAAGAAAAGGCTCACATTACTCCTTCAACAAACAACTAAGAGAAGAAGGGATGTTAGCAAAAGAGAAACTATCAAAACAAAAATTATTCTCTAAAGCCAAAGTAGCACAAAGGTCGGCTACCTTATTGCAATCTCTATGAACATGGTGAAAAATTACCTTATTGAAGTCGGCCAAGAATACAAGATCTTCGTCTATTCGGTTGTAGCTTTGCCACTTAGCCTTATTCAAAGAATTTTGAATAAACTTAATAATGTTGAGGTTATCACCTGCAATTATTACTCATTTGCTATCTAGCATCCATCCTTGAATGAACTTTCTAATTGACACCACGGCATCCATCTCAAGTTGTGCCACATCCCAGTGAATTCTTCTCTCCCCAAAGGCAAGTAGTAATCTTCCTTTGTAGTCTCTAAAGATACCTCCAATTCCAGAACTATTTGTAGTTAGAAGAGAAGCATCAACATTTATTTTAATTCAGTCTAGCGGTGGAGGGTGCCAAACATTTTGGAACTCCATAAGGAGATTAGCACCCCAGCTATCTAGAAATGGATTATAATGATTCGTTAATGAAGATAAAACACTTGCTGCAATAATAGAGCTCAGACTAGTCTTCTTCCCATGGACAATCTCATTTCTGTTTTTCCAACACAAATATACCGCAATGCAATATAGTTTGACCATATTAGGAGCAAAAACAGTAAAAGTTTTTTGCTCTCTCAAACATTCTTCCAAAGAGTAAAATATAGTAATATAAAATCTCCACTCTTGAATTTTTCGAAAGACCTGCAGCAGATACTTACACCGAACAACAATATGCTCAAAGTTTCCACATCTTGACAGCCTCTTGCACATAAATCATGATTTGTAAGTTTCCTATACTTCAAAAATTCATTTGTAAGAATTGCAAATTTTCTCATCCTCCACCAAAACAGCTCCATCCGAGGGCTAAACTTAAGCTTCTTTTTAACCATTTTGAGAATCCAAAATCTTCCTCCTTAATATCACGGTATATGTAGGATTCATATGCTCTAACACTAATAGTTCTGCCTGAAAGATGGCAAATCTCCTCCAAATAATCATCTTCAGCATTATTATAAATCAGAACTTGCAAAATTAAAGAGATGAGATCCTCATGGAAGAAACGTTGCAACTCCTCCACCTTCCATCTTCCATTCAAATTAATGAAGCGATTGAGCATTACATTTTCCAATCCTAAGCAATCAACAGTTGTTTGCCAAACTTCCAGACATTTGTCTAACATCCAAATGTCTTTTAGAACATTTATCTTCCTTCCATTGACCACTCTCCACCTTAATAAAGGTTTTAAGTATCCAGCAACTTCTGTTAAATTTTTCCAAGCAATTGAGGATCCTTTTCTGTAATCAGCATTCAACATATTATCACCATATTTAGCAATACTGTTTCAATGAAGCAACGAATCTGGATTTTGGATCTGCCGCCATGACAATCTTTATCTAAGAGATCCAGCTCTACTAACAGTTGAATGAAAATTCAGCCCACTAGCTGCTTTTGGCTTACAAAGTTCTTCCCAACATATGTAATGCATTCCTCTTTTGCCATTTCTTTTATGCCAAATGATCTCTCTACAACATTTGTCAACTTCATGAAGCATTTTCTTTGGAACCAAAGTATGTGTAGATATGAAAGTTGGAAGAGATAGAAGAGAAGATTTAGCAAGAATAATCTTACCAGCCATAGAAAGACATTTGCTCCCCCAAGCATTCAGCTTTTGTAGAATATTATCCAGTAAATAATGAAAATCAGATTTCACCGATCTTCTCAGCATCATTTTAATGCCCAAGTAATGCATCTCCTTGATGATTTTGAACTTCAGAATCTATTAAACCTGTCATTTGTTAGATTTGCTAGATGCCTTGCTGAAAAGGATTTGTGATTTTTAATTGTTCACCTTCAGCCCCGTCCAGGAGTAAAAATTTGATTCTATACTCTTCAATATATTGCCTAGCTTTTTAGATGCTTGAGAAAAAATCAGGACATCATCGGCATATAGAAGATGGTTAATCCTTTGAGCTCTAGGGGAGATTTGAATTCCCAAATCTTGTTCTCTTTGTGCCATAGTAAGTGAGAAAAGTTGAGAACAAATGATAAAAAGATAAGGAATGCAACCTGTTCTTCCAGGAAGGAATGCAACCTGTTCTTCCAGGAAGGAATGCAACCTGTTCTTGAGCGATACATCTAGTAATACAACCTTTCATTCTATTCAAAATCATAGTTGCCAAAAGCTTATAAGTAGTTTGACACAAACTTATAGGCCTATAGTTAGACAGAACAATCAGATTTCTTATTTGAGGAATTAATATAATCAATATATCTTTCTATTCAGTATGCATGAATCCGGTTTTGAAAAAACTATCAATTGCTTTCCATGTTTCACCTTCCATAATTTTCCAATAGAATTTAAAAAAGGATGTAGTAATACCGTCTAAACCAGGAGACTTATTATTACCTTGATGAAAAATAGTATTAATAAGCTCCTCTTTAGTGAAATCAGCACTCATCATATTAGCATCATCTTGGGAAATCTTCAGATTTTTTGGAATTAAGGGCCGACCTGTCAACTTACACTCCATAGCAGTCCACTTTTTCTCAAAAAAAAAAAAAAATGAAAAACTGCTTCAATGTGTTCAAAGTCCTCTACAAGATTGTTATTCTCATCTTTAATTTGCCAAATAAGATTGCCATTCTTCTTAGCATAAGCAAAGTTATGAAAAAAACTGGAATTAATATCACCTTCCTCATGCCATCTAACTTTAGCTCTTTGGTTCCACGAAGTAGATAATCTCCCGAATGTAACATTCAACTCATGTACCTTGCTTCTCAGAAGTTTCAGATTGTCAACCGTGAGCCCATCTCCCATGGATTCCTCAATCTGTAGCTGTAGAATTTCCCTCTTCAGATTAATCTTTAGTAAATTCAGCTCTCTGCATTTGTTTTTATTCCAGAAATATAAAGCTTTCAAAGTTTTTCTTAGCTTCCTTTGTAAAATTTTCAGCATGATTACCAAAATCAGATTTTCTCCAAGCCTTCAAAATAATATTCCAAGCTGCAGGATATGACTTCCATGTATCTTCAAATCTAATAAATTTAGATTTCTGATTTTGAGGCTTAACCACATTGAAGGAAATAGGAAGGTCCGATGCTAGCCTTGGTAAATGCTGAACCTTTGCAATTGGAATTTTCTGCAAAGCAGTAGAGTTTAATAAACATCTATCCAACCTCTCCCAAATTCTTGAAGCACCTTCTTTATTGTTACACCAAGTGAAACATGGCCCAACAAACCCAATATCATGGAAGTCATTGTTTTTCAAAAACATCTTCATCTCCTTAGGTCCATTAGAAAAATGGAACCACTTCCCTCCCCTCTTGTCATCCTTAGATAGAATGCAATTAAAATCACCTCCAATAATAGAAGGTGTATCACAAGGCATACAATGTTCAAGAGTTTCCAATAAGTTTCTACGGGTTTGCACATCCTTACCTCCATAAACAGTAGCTACATTACAAGTACCAAATACATCGCTGTTAATAACTCCCATAATTACTTGAGAAGAATGTTCAATAATTTCAATAGAAACCACATTCTTATTCCACAGCATAAGAATCCCCCCCCCCCCCCCCCCCCCCCCCCCCCCCCCCCCCCCCCCCCCCCCCCCCATCAGCAAGATAGTGAAAGAACTCCCAATCGCTTCCAATTAGAAAATTGATATCATTCTTATCAAAACAAGACATCTTAGTCTCAGATAGACCAACAAAAAACCCCTCATTATCATTCACTATCTCCCTAAGATATAGGGAGGCTCCCTCTTTCTTGCCCCCCTACAATTCCAAAAGAAAAATGAAGCCATTATAAAACAA